TGTTCCACCAGGAACCTATGAGACAAATAATAATAAAATTCATCAGGGACTGACCTCAGTTGGGAGAACATTAGAAACATGTCAGTTCTGGACAGCTGTTTCGTCCTAGTATTGAACTTCTTGGTAGTGCGCACCCATGGCTCCACCTCACGAGTGATAGAACCCATGACTTCCAGGTTCCGCGGTCAGCATATTGGTTGCCACTGAGCCACTTGACCGGAATTCAGAGGTCTTAATCCCCCAACTCCGTCAGTTCGTGGCAGCGCGACCTCCATCGAATGCCGTCGTTGAGTTACTGTCCTCATGATCGACCTACTTGGCCGCATAGGTCATGACCTTCTGTTAGAGCTTCGGTAATCATCGCTCGAAGCTAGTCACTAATGAGCACTAGATTAGTTCAGTTTCGAGATTTGTGAGGATTTATTTATTGACTTCAGGTTGGTGTGGACAGTTACCCAAAGACTGCACTGGATAGATGTTGCACTACATCGTGAACTGATAGAAGTAGGGAGCTAGGACCACTGGATTCTGACCCAGTGGCTCAATGGTAACGTGCCACCAGCGGAACCTGGGGGTTATGGGTTTGATCCCTCACAGTGTTATTGATGCACACTGCTGAGAAATCCCATGCCAGAAAGAAACAACTGTCTAGTGCCCTCTGGTTCCCAATGTTTCGATAACTGATATCAGTCCACAGTGAATATGAGTTAAAGCATATTAAATTTATAATACAACCATATATTTTAATATTCTAGGTTGCTAGCATTTGACTATAGATCAAGGAGAGAAATAGATCCATTTTATTTTTACTCTTTTCAAATCTGTAAACAGGAATTCGGGCATGAAATTAATTAGTTGTCTATTGTTTTTCTTATCATCTCAACTTGCTGCAAAACTGTTTTGTTTTTTTTAATTTACGGTTGAAGTCTGTATCTTTGGGGCTGAATAAATAGTCCTCTTTGTTTCAATAATGAAAGTTGAGATTCAGCCATAGCTATTTTTTGTGAAGTCTATATATTTCCACTTACTGATTTGCCACTAAGTAACACAGTGTTCGTGAAAGGTAGCACGACAAATTACCCTTGATAGTGTTACGCATGCCTATATCCCTAATATTCCACACCTACAGTTTGGGTATATTTGGATTGTTTTACTTCGCGCTCTCTTTCCCGTGCATAGGTCTTATTTCGTATGACCCACTAGCGTTCTGATTGGCTCCTGCCTCTTTAAATGCACTAATTATTCTTTGACTTTCAAGGTTGGTGTAAACTGTATAAGCAGGGTCCGTTCTCACTAATAAACGTATTCAGTCCGAGATAATATAAACTCATCTGATTTCCAGTCGTTTGATTTCTCTTCGCGAATTATTCGGGTTAAATCATCTCAACCCCCCGACTATCAATCATTAAGAAATATCGTTAGTTCTCGCAACTCCGCATCATAACAGATAGATAACCTGCATCACATGTAACGGTAATCTCCTTACAATAGACAATGTTGTCAATTCTACAGAAGATGAACACTTTCTTACAAAACTACACTAAGGATTCTTTACTCGGTGGTCTACTTCCAACCTCACATCTGTAAAATGATCATTGTAACCATAGATTTTTTGCAAAGAAGTAATATACAGATTCCAGTGAAGAAAATTCTCTTAGTGACGATTTCCTTTAGTTGCTGAGACCTTTTTTGCATGCTTCAATGGAGGTTATAAATTTGTGAATCCCGTTAAGGTGAATTCATCTTGGATATTAAACACACTACTTAAACTTTGGGCTACTGAAAATTATCAACGGAATTTATTTTATCAAATTCATCCCTTTTAATTTGTCTCAATCTAGTAAATTTCTTTTATCTCTTGGGTTCCTAGTGGAACATGGGGCTTCAGTAGCACGTCTCCATTGCAATATCTTCTCTGCAGTCTTCTGAACCTCGCTCTACGACTACCCAGAAGCTTTCATTTCTTCCTCATATCATCTTCACCATGTCACCCTCGCCTCCAAAGCCCAACTCCTCCTTTCCTATTTGACTTCCAATCGACTGCCTGCCCTGGTCTGACACGTGATGTCCCCGAATGGTCTTCTCAGTGTACGCCCAATCCAATCCAATCCGTCTCCACTTCCTTCATCTGCATATTTGTTGGGCGATGGATTGTTGGTTAGTTCGTTGTCAGACACAGTTCCTCGTTACTTATTCTTTCCGGCCATCTGATCTTCAGTATCGAGTGAGAGTAGGCGGCAGCTGTTCATGATGAATGTCTGTAGTTTGTTGGAAGTGCTTTTCGTGACGAGCCAAGTTTCTGAACCATATGGAAGCACTGACTTGCCTGAATTGGTGTTGAAAATCCAGATCTTGTTCTCTGTCCTGAGTGTAGTAGATCTCTACACTGAATTCAGATTAATGAAAGCCTGTCTTGTTGTCTTTCCGATCCTGACTTTGACATCCTCGTCTGTGTTGCCACCTGTAGTTGAAACGATGCTGCCTAGGTAGAGAGGCAGGTGAAAGAGATTACTTCCTTTAGGTTTCCCCTATTGATGGTGGTTGTTGCTTGTTGTTCATGCTGTTGTTGGTCTAGTATCTTCATTGCCTCAGTTTTCTCCACGTTCACTTGAAGTGTCGTTGTCGCTACCCTGCATCGCCTCTCCTGTCAACTTGTTAGTTTTCGTCAGTAGATCTTCGAGCTTGTGCTACTAAACATTCGGCAGGCATAAATCATCATCGGCGAAACATAAATCATCTAGGCTCTTTCCAACGGTCCAGTCAGATTATTCACATCTTCTCGCTCCTCACGGTTTGCTGCATCATCCAGTCCAGTCAACCACAATCACGAAGATCATCAGTGGTAGTGGGCGGCAGCTTTGTCTTACTCCTGTCTTCAACTCAAAGGTCTCGCTGAGCTTTCCACCGTGGATCACTTGGGATGTAGTGTCTTCATATATCTACTGAATGTCTTTTAAATGCTTCAAGTATCCTTGGGTTCTTTTCAAATGGTTCCAAACTGCCGCTTTTCAAGTTAACAGAGAAACAAAGACTAGACGATACGCTAGTAAGAGATGGGAATATAAATCCAAAGAAATACAGTATATTACTGTCCCTTGGATAACTGTGTGGAGTTTCAGACTTTGATACTGGCTTTATAAACTGCCACCACCAAAATTATGCTCCATATTCTATTTATTTATCAGTCCAAAACAGATGCTAATGTAATACCAGGTACCTACTCACATTGTGGCTTTTGTTATTGTCAAAATGCAGTGATTATTTCGCTAAAAGATATTGTACTGGAAATGAGTCTGTTGAACTATTTACTGGATGCTGAGAATTCCGTACTGTACCACACGTCTTGTTTTGGAATAAAGTTATCATTATAGTTGTTGTTAAAAACTGTTAAGGAGGCTTACAAATCGGAAATGGATGTGTCCATGGGGATGTAATAATAACAATAACAACAGTAGTGACAATACTGAAATTAAAAGCGATATGTATTTATGCGCTGGGAAATGATCAGAACTTATTGTGTGAGGGCTTATGATAACACTTGACAACCAAGGTCAAAATAGGTGGAACGAGATCTGAATCCAAGACAAATCAAAAACTTAAGTTTTAAAAAGCCGCAACTGCCGGATGCAGCGAAGACATTCAAGTAGTATTGACAAAGGATGAACAGAAGTTTATTAGGGCACTTGATATGTGCGACTGTTGACATAATATGGTTGCACACTTTTAAACTAAATGTGAATGAACCTCGGTTATCTTCAGTAAACTATAACACAAGATATCTGTTTAGTTTTAGTCGAAACCCTTGCCAAACTTGTCTACTAAGCATACAACAAGTCCATTTATCAACCACAGTTTGTTGATGTAGTCTGACGAACAACCAGATATTGACATACTAACAGAAAATCTGAATGTATTCATTGGAGTCTAAGTTGACAAGTTGAAAGATTTCGAGCAAATAATTGTCAGCTCATGGTTTGTGCGAAAAGTATTCGAAAACCATTTGTTATAGGGATTTGAACATGGTACTGGACCCCATAGTAGCATAAGGCATATTGAAATGTACCAACTGTCACCGAGTACTGAGTCTGCTGATGGGTCTTATTAAGTGGTTAATAGTAGTGTCCTTACTTGCATTATACCGTCGTTGATTGGACCCAATTGGTCGGTCTCCATTAACATATGGGTTCCTGTGGGGATGCCTCGATATTGCCGGTGTTCTAGTTATAGTAAAGATGGACAATCATTACCCACCAGATAAAGCAGGATGAGGCTGTAAAAAGGTTGAAAGCGGCCGGACAAAAATGTGACTTTAGTTCATAAAATCCTTGACTGTTGGTCTGGACCCCAAGAAGGGATGTAGACTTTACAGTTGAGGTCTGTGTGACAACATGAAATGACGGTAAAAAAACTTTAGGTAATATGACTCAGAAGCAATTGCAGTGGCACAGATTTATCTGAATATTATACTCATGTTCATCGTCATACCACATTAATTTTTTCACTTTACTTTCACCTTTTAAATTCTTATGAATATTCATGACTTTTGATCATATTGATGGGGTGGGGTGAAGTCTGGGAGGTTCAACCTTTATTTACTTGTACCTGGTTCCATGTGCACCTCAACGAATGATGACTAATGATAAGTACTACTGAGTAGGTCAATTGTAGTTTTCATATGAGATTTGTTTATTTGATATATAGCGCACAGCGATACAGTATTATTTACAAGTAAATAATACTGTATCACTGTGCGCTATATATCGTATAAGCAAATCTAATATGTAATTACATTCCACGGCAGTGCCCAAGTTTTATACTTATATCAATTGTAGTTTTCCTTAAAAATCAATAATATGATTTGTACTGGGTAATGATTGAAGGTGAGATGAAAATCTGGACCGCTGTCGATTTTTCATCTCACCTTCAATCATCACCCAGCACAAATACTAATCTGCCAAACTACAGCTATCTTAGATAGTCAAATCAGAATAAATAACATGATTACTAGTAATTTATATTTACAATAAAACTTGAATCTCCACTGAGAAGCATGTACCTTGTTAATCCTCCGCTTTTTATTTTGACTTTTTGCGTACAAACAATCATTATATACGTATCGTAAGTCTTTAACCCTGCAGTCTATTATTTACTCAACACTTCATGTGAAAAATCCATCTGTTTTCTAGTATAACCTACTCTAAGTGACCACTGATCATGGTTTTCCCACAGCGAAAAAATATTCTCCAACTTCTTTTTATCACATCATTAAACAAAACGACTATTTTTAAAAATTCTCTGCACTTTACTTTTTATATATATGAACAGGTAAAACTCATTAAATTTCAGACAAGGAAAATTAAAAAAAAAAGGATTAGAAAACAACAAAATTATCCAACACATTACATAATGGACAGTGTAATATTTATTTGTATGTTCATTTCCTAGGAACATGATTGCTGAGTAACAGAGATGCTATTCAATCACTAAGAGGTCAATTGCGTCATATAAAGAAATAATTGAACCATCTGGTTCAAACATTTCCCCTTTTATATGGTCTGCCGAAGGTACATAAAGAAATAATTGTCAAACGAACAACAAAAATGAAGAATCATGTTATACAAATGTAAACATACCTGCAAATATGTGTACACAAACATAGCATATTCTATGCATTAACAATTAAGACGGTAGACAGAAAAGAAAATGAACAGTACGACTAACAGTAGAAGTATTAATAATAATAATAGTAATAGCACAGCCACTAAAAGAGATAATTATCTTCGCATTAGTATTTCATATCTGAACAATGTTAGTATATCCATCTAATGCATACATTTATCGAAGAAAAGAGTAGTTCTAATCATTGAAACAATCATTATTACTCAACTAAAAATGAAACAGAAGTGATCCAGTAATAATTTCTGAATCAATTCATGATTCAACTGGATCATCTTTTAAATCACTATCAAAAGATATATATGTTAGGTGAGTGAATCTGTTTTGTACATACAGAGTGTTTAACAGTAAAATGCATATCTTCACAATGAAATGGTCCCAAAACGAAAAAAAAAGTCAAGATATTCACATACAATATCCATTTGATATCTATCTGCCTTCTTCAAGTTGTTTCCAGAAAATTTTCAACGTAACATTTTAACATTGTCTAAAATCTTCTATGTGATGGATACTAGAAAAAATTCACAAGCTATTTGTTATCACCAATCTTTCTGTAAGTAGGTCAACATTTTACAGGTCATAAACCATGCAAAAAAGAAATGAAACATTAAGTGATTAACACAAAGTGAGAACAAGATAAAGAAGAAACGATACACTAGACAACAGGTGAGATAGATGATGACAAAAAAAAAATATTCTCTATGAAATTATGAATGATAATTTAAATAATTTGTTAGACCAGAAGATCCCTGACTTATTTGTGAATTTGATGTCACAGAATTCATTGTTGTCGGATAACAACCAGATTGTAGAAGAAGGAGATTAGCTTGTAAACTAGGTTGAACAGTTACAGGTTTTAGAGATAATGTTGAATTTGTACAAGAGTTTGGTAAAGATGGTTGTGGAATGGATGGTGGAGGTGGGATAAGTAAACCTGCATGAACAAGGGAATTAGGATTAGTTTCTAGTTGATGCATCATACCAGTAGGCAATCCATTATATAAAAGTGGTACGCATTGTTCATTTGACATTCTTTGATTTACACTGACTGCACCATTACCTATATGATTACCGTTAGTGTTCACTATCCAAGGTACATCATATGTTACATTGTTAGCATCTGTATACGATACTGGTTCATATGACATAGAATTTAAACTTCCATCACCTATGGTACCACTTTGTGCAGGTCTTACACACCTACCTAATTCAGTTTGCATGGTTTGTTGTCGCATATTCACCGGAAGAGTAGCATGATTAAATCCCGGTAGTCCATTAAAAAACTGTTGTGCATTTAATAAATTTGTCGCTAACGAAATAGATTCAGGATTCATTTGACCTGTAGTACAATTTGTTACTAAACTTTGTGGTGCACTTGGTTCTATGGAACTTGTAGTGATAGCTGCTCTTGAGGCACTACATGACGTATTTGATGATGATGTCCCTCCAGGAGATACACCAGGTACTTCCAAAGCACCAGTATCTGCTTTATGAGGTCGATATTGTTTACGTTTATCACAAGGTGATAGGCGTCGGTGAAGTGTTTGATAGATAATAAAAAATAGTAGAACAGTCGATAAAAATGTTCCAGCTGTTGCAGCTATAAGTTCGCCTAGACTAAACTGTTTTGTATGTAGAACTGAACCTGAATGTGAGAGTGGTGTGGTGGGCCAGTTGTTTAGGTAATTAGCTTTGCTTTCGTTGAATACGGTTTTAGATATAGGTGATATTTGGTCATCATTTTCTAAAATTTTGGTTGGCAAAATGATTGGCCACTGCAGACGGACAGTTGCTGTAACATTACCAATCACATCATTGCCAACACATGAATACATATCGACTTTATGTTGTTTTGTGACTTCTAATTCACTTTCGGCTCTCATCACTTCTGCAGCTTCAACGGACCAAGCTTCATTATCATCAGTCAAGCGTGGGATCTCCTTTTCATCTTGGTACCTGAGTGTTGCATGATGATTAGACAAGTTAACTGCAATCATACCATCTTTGTGGTAATACCAAGTAATCGATAGCTGTGATGATCCCTTCATTGAACATGTCAGTCGTACTGTAGAATGCTGACTATCTACTTTCGATTGGGAATCCGATTCTTCCAATGAAGAATCCCTTCGAATTTTACTGTCAGCTTGATGAAGATTAGTCAAATCGACGTCAAGACGTTCAAGTTGTGGAGGTGGGCAATAAAGTATAAACGGAGGACGAGATTTTCGCCAAGTATTTGCTCCTGGATTATAGGCCTCTGAAAGGTCAGTAATAAGATCACTAAATTTATGTCCTGCTAATGAGTGTGGAGTTGAACATTTCGGTTGGCTATCTTCACGATCCCATCCATTCTCCATAGTTTCATTCCAATCACGTTTATGAATAGTACGATATCGTTTAATCAACCAATTCAATTGACAGTCACAATGCCATGGATTTTCATTAATTTCGAAATTTTGTAACTCACGAAATATCACATCATACTTACTGTCAAGACGTTTAAATTGATTACCTTTCAATATTAACTGGCTTAATCTCCCAACAGAGGTCAATTGTTCCAATGACTTATAAGGCAGTTCATGTAGATTAGAATTGCGTATAATTAAACTTTTCATTCTTGTCAAACCAGTGAATGTATTTTCACGAATATTTGGTAATTTAATCTCATCCATTATCAAAGTTAATTGATCTAAACCAGCAAATGCATAATCAGCTATTTCAACTAATGGATTTCCAGTTAAATCTAATAAACGTAATTGAGATCCTAATGTTTGAAATGCATTACGACCTAAACTTGCAATATTACAAAATCGTATATGTAAACTTTTCAGTTGAATTTTTCCACCGAATTCAATACTACGATAAACTGACAATTCATTTGGTCCTAAATGTGTACTAATAAATGTCTGATTTTGTATTAATAAATATTCTAATTGTAACATTGGTGGAATTGGTAAAAACTTTAAACCAGGCAATTCACAATTCATACGTTTTGAACTACAAATACATTGTGGTGGACAAACTGTTGATTCTCTTTCCATTGTATTCGATAATTTAATCATGTATATAATAATAGTAATAATTGAAATCAAGTGAATACATTGAATTTGACAAAATGAATTAGTATGTTGAATCCTCTTGAATATTCTGAATAAATCAAGTAAACAGAGCATATTCATATGATACGTCTCATTAGAAGACACTTCTGATTCCCCTTACTTCTTCGTCTTCAGAGTTTGTTTTAAACTGTTTATAAGAAAAAAGAAAAAGAAAAAAATAACACTGATGATAAAATGATTTCAGGTTTCAATAGTTAATGTGTTCAATTCTTCAATGATGAATAGGTATTTGATGTAAGAAAGTATTTAATGAGAAATACTTGAAGCGATTACATGCTTTTTCCTATTCAACTACAAAAATTGAAATTAAGGTAACTCATGCCTTCTTATAGATTTAAGCGGGTATCACTGACAGACTTACTCCATAACTAACAATTTGTTTGACCACTAAACTAAGACCACTTATTCAGTTTCTTAATCATAAATACTAATAGAAACCATTTGGCTATTTTGATGGTCATAAATCCAAGTCTCACAAGATTGTGGTGCTCTATTGTCAAGAGATGAGATATAGTTCTCGACATTTTATGCAATATGGTTTCGGTGTCCGGTGTGCGTACGCTTATAGCAGTATGCGAAAGTATAAATGATTAAATCTGTGCCACGTATAGAAAGAGTTTCACTGCTTTTCTATATCAGTCAACCTGTCATTCTGCTGTAAAAATTTGTTAGTAGTATACGCTGTAGTATAGCTGAAAATCTTCGCCAATAAAATTATGAAGAATTTTCGAAGGTCAATTTTTATTGTGATTTCGTTTTAATATCAGTAACTAGTTATACTTGTATTATCTTTTTGTCTGAAGGTTTTATGCATCAGTTTACGATAGAACATATAATTAACTTTTATTGGCAAATAGCCTACACATAGATATAAAACTTTATTCAAACCAAAGTTATATTTAAGCATTTTAAAAATTTACAACTTGTTTAGAATTTAGTACAACGTTCAACTGTAGCCAAAAATTGATGTATGAATGCTGACGACGTTAACTGGTGGTATATGTCACTGTAGACAGATAGCAGACTGAAGTCCAGTATTACTGAAGGTCGATTGCTAAGGTCAGTAAGTCATGTCTCCATGAGATTCATTTAATTCATTCATTTACTTTAAACCATCAGGATTTAATAAATATTTGTACCAGCAATCTTTGGCTAGTAGATAACTACTGTCACTTTGAAGCAATCAAATCTTAAACACATGAATTAAAAATAATTTGAGTCTGTTATCACTAACTCGTCACGGACAGGTTAAGCATAAAATATCAGCAACTAAATATGATCATACACTCCCATGAAATTTGGCTTGGCTCATAACCTATTACATAAGATTGTATCAGCTTGTTTAGTTTGTTGTTCATGTCAACTACACTTATAAACGACATACATAGTGTTCAGTTGAATTTGGAGGTTTGTGGGGACTTAGTAATCTTTCAAGTTGGTATTCATCATAGACTGACATCAGTTGGAAGAACATAAGAAACCTGAAAGTACTCGACAACTGTTTCATCCTAGTATGGAACTCCTCAACAGTACGCACACATGACCCCGCCTCACCAGGGGTCGAACTCAAGACCTTCAGGTTCTATCGCCAATCATGCGGCCACTGATCCACTGATCCGTAGTTCTAACTTCAGTCAGTTCCCGACATAGCGTGACCATCATAGAATGTTATCGTCCATGTTTATGTAAAACACCGATTCTAATAACATAGAAACTATGATATTAATTCTATTTTCAACGTTTCTGTCAGGTGTAATGATCCATAATGACCAAAATACCTATCTTTTCACATCGCTCAAGAAAATAAGATGTTACATATTATTCATCTTAAAAGTTTCCAAAGTAAGTAACTAAATCATTCACAAATAAACACATGTAGACAAATATTGGCTATCATACAAAAACGTAAGCATGAATCATTTGAAAGTCGATGAATAATATGGATAACAGCTACGTTTAAGTGTGATGTTAAATGGGCTTAAAAATTTCTCTTAATCATTTTGCTTAACTACTGTTCTATTGCTTCATGCTGTTTCTGAATCACTGAAATTTACGGGAAACAAATATAAACGAGCCAGTAGGAACCATTCCATTCACTGAGGAAAGGCAAACACTGAAGAAAGAATTTACACATCTTCAACTTGTATTTTCCTACAAAGGTTTGTTTCTAAGCTGGGAAGCTACTCACCCCATTATAATTAAAGTTACTCAGTACTCAATAAGGCCAATATTATTTAAACAACTTTATCCTTGGATTTGTTAGTTACCAATCCACAAATATTTTTTACAGTGGCTAGTAAAAGGCATGGGGTAAGTGTAGAACATAATAAGTCTTCTGGAAGAATTGAATTATATCAAATCGTTTAGACTAGGTGATGATTGAAGGTGAAATGAAAATTCAAACCATGGCCGGATTCAAACCACCCACCATCGGATTTCCAACCCAGTACCCTACAAACTCATCTACAAGATCCAACTAATAACCACATCTTTATTTCACTTCGATCATCATCCACCATAAATACCAGTCTGACAAACTACGACCATCTCAGATAGTCAAATGATAGTCAGTAGGATGTTCCCCTTCTGTGATTCAGTTAGATTGAGATTGAGATGAGAAGTCGTGAATGAGGAGTCAGTGTGAATAGGATCAGGCGGTAGAGAGGCATGACGAATTCACATGGTGGTGGGGAAACCCGACCTGTGATTGAAAGGAAATAAGAATCTGGTGAGTAGTCGGACCTTGTAGTTCAGTTGGTAGAGCAGGGTGTGGGAGACCTGGATATTGGTGGTTCGACTCCAGGTGTTGTCCAAATTTTCATTTCACCTTCAATCACCAACCTCAGATAGTCAAATGAAAATCGTTTAGATATAAATTGAAAAGGGGGATCAATCAATTTGGTGCGAATTATACCCCCTTTTTTATATACACCAATATCCGTTACGAATATCCTGTTGATAAGGTTGCAGCATACACAATGAGAGGTTCAAGGAAAACTGTGATGTCTAAAATGTTCGAATGTAAACGTGTAACTGCAGCAAGTTTCAACAAGTATGCTGATGAAACCACCAAAGGGGATTACTACAGAAAAAGTAAAGTTATCTTAACTGTGGTGTTTTATATTCTTTAGACTATTTACCATGTACTTTGATAGTGTAAAAGAAATCAGCGTTAATTAGTATTCAGTTTAGTTTCACTCAAGAACTGTGAATAAAAACACATTTGACCTTAATCGACCTTGATTATAAGGAACCAACAAAAACAATTCGACGAATGTATGAAACTATAATGAGTTCTAATAACTTTTAGTTAATGTCCCACGTCGATAATTCGCCAGCTATGAACATCAATTTATCACAGTTATTATCCCTATTCTCTGCTACAGGGCATTAACAATAAACTTCACACCTTAAAAAGTGTACTATAAATAAAAGTACATCGTTTGGGCTAAAATGAAAATAACAAAACAACATGAATAACCCTAACAGTACTTGCTGGGAAAAAATGGGAGGAAGTTACCTACAACCACGTTTATATGTTCTAAGTCTGAGTACTTTTTAAGCTGCTATCGCGTTAGCGCAGTTTACCTTAACAAGAACAAACCTAAGATCACTGTGATTTGGCCAGCGAAGTCTTCAAGTTAAAGCGAATAGTTTTGTAGGTAGCCATTTAGTAGAGTAGTATACTTAAGTAATATAAATCACGGACTGGTATCAGTTAGAAAACTAATGAAAACCTGGGAGCACTAGACAGCTGATTCGTTCTAGTATGGTTCTCCTCAGCATTACGCACGCACGATCAGGCTAGGGATCAAACTCGAGACCTTCAGGTTTCACGGCGACCCTAACCAGGTTGCTAAGGTCTCCATTATCTTACGCTACTGATTTTTCGAAGTCCAGGATAGCCAAATAAGAGGAGCAAATTATAACATGTGGTTTAAACCCAAACTATACTTTTTCTCCGCTATATGCGACATTTATCTGTCCCCACTAAATTAAATGGTAAATAGATTGCGGAAGATTTTCATGACTAGTGGGAAGTAAGGTAATTTTTGAGTAGCTAACAAAGGTATTTCTCTAATATTTGGAGATGGGACTCACTGGGTTAAACATTTGACTTTCGAGAAATAAGTCTCATTTTCAAATTTCATTCGACCTACTTCAGTCTAAACAATCGAATAGGATCAAAAGCTATCAAACAATGTGTTGCTCGAAACTAATAACACAAACCTACACTGAGTTTCGAAATATCAAGCACCTAGGCCAGTGAGCCATAGCGCAGAGTTGATTATCAGTACCTGCACTCAGCTACAATCATCTTTTATCAGATATGCAACATTCAGATAGCTGAAAAAGCACAATCTATGAAGATGATATATCGTATCAAAGCAGTCTTTTTCAATAGGATATTAAGGTATCCCATACATTTTAACCGGCTTAACGAACCTGGTTCTTGCAAAAGGTTTGCATAACTTCGATACATTAAAAGGCATAAATATTTAATGAAAAGCTCTTTTAAATCACTGCCGTGAAAGTTATTTCTAACCCAATCCTTTTCAATGCTTATAATAATACCTATAGTGTTACTACCCATCAGTACTACTACCACTATTCATATAAATTTAAGTATACCGCAAAGAATCCTGATGAAAACGGCCAAAAGCAGAGATATTCACATTTTATATTCATGATAGATAGTGGCTTGCAGTGGAATCCAGGATGCAGGCTTCGTCCAATTTTGAAACTCGTCAGGTGGGTGTACCTGCCTCCCAGTGAATGGTGTTATTACCCTTAGAACTCGGACTGCGGACCGATCGCTTCAAACGCCACCAAGCCAGAGAGTTACAGCAGCCATGTCTTGTGTAACGGATATAGTTTTAACGCTGTTACTTGTATTATCTCGTCGTTGATAGGACTGGATTTGTTCAGTCTATATTGGCATATGTACTCCTGAGAGGACATCATGATATTGACGGTGTTTCAAGTTTAAACTGCTGATGGAAAGTGGCTAGCAGCAGAATCCAAAACACACGCCTCGTCACAGCAACTACTTGTCAGCGATATAAAGTCTAAATAGATAATGTCGAAGCATCCACAAAGGAGTGTATATACCAGTTGAAACCGCTTGAATTTAGTCCAGTCAGCGAAGGGATAATACGTGTAGTAACCTTAATATAATTACGATGTTGAGAAAATCATGTAAAGAGATCTTTGTTTCAAAAAAGTACACTGCGAAAAGATTTCTACTCACGCAAAGGAGTAGATGGGTAACAGATCTTGGTTGTATTGTGTACTCTCAGCTGGCTTGTTTATTGGTGGAGCATTTATCGTCTGCTAGACGATATCGGACTATCGAAAATACGAATTAAATTGCAGAAGCAGTGATGCAGAGACCGGAAACCATCACTCTACTACAGTAGCAACAACCCAACAACGTACAAAATTAATTGCGTGGAGACTCTTTTGCAAAAGAGAATGCACTTCAGTACAACAACTTCACGGAGAAAGGAAGAAAATTACTTGATGTCTATACTAAAGAGGAGCGACTACCCACGAAACCTTATCAGAAGATGCCCATCCCGTACATCATCAACTACAGTCATCGACAGAAATCAACAAACGTATCATCCTACCGTACATAAAGGATATATCAGAAATCATGACAACATTACTGAAACCACTTGGAATTGATGTAGCTCACAAATCAACAGACTCCCTACAAATACTATTATGCAGACCAAAGAATGTGACAAACAAAGAAGACAAACTGAATATCATTTACAAAATCAATCACAATCACTGTAGTCAACACTACATTGGACAAAGTGGTCGCCCTCTTCGCCTTCATCTACATGAACACCAACTAACTGTTAAACGTCACAACATTTCATCATGCATTCATTTCAATGCATGTGGATAACTATGGACATGAATGAATTCAATTTTGACAATGTCGAAATTGTTGACGGAGCGAGGAAACATGAAGAGTATCAGAGAATTCCTAGAAGCTTTGCATTCAGGTCAGTAGTCAGTCAGTCAGTCAGCAATCAATAGATGTATAGATATAGACCCAATCTATTAACCGATAGGAGAGATGATAAATGACCGGAAGGTCAGAAGTCAAGGGGGGAAACAACCGAAAGGGAGGTCTATACAATCGATGACACAGCAATCAGTGGGAACAACCGATCACGAACCAGTTCATCAGGGCAAGCCACCAGATCCCTCAGAGAGAGATATTGACAGCTCACTTCATACTGAAGTTAGTGTTGATGATGTCGTCTAATCAGATAACGAAAGCTGCCCGATTCAACAGCCCGCCTCATAGAACATAATACAACCAAGAATAATAGAATATCTGAACCTGGCTTTTATATTTCATACCGAATTTGATATATATGCATGATCTAAAGTCTGGACCAGCTTTTTGCTTGCTTGAAGTCCAACTTATTGACTCTGAAACCGCATAAAATCACTCGAATAACCCGTGTCTGATCAGTAGACTTGGCTGCAGAAAAATTTAGTAAGTTGGATGAACTATTTGTAAATTTGAAAGTGACTTTAATTACGGATTGGAATTATGTGGATCACTAATGGAAACTTGAGAGCACTGGAGAGCTGTTACCTCCTAGTCTGAAACTCCTTATTGGCGCACACCTACGACGCCACGAGAAAACAAGTCTAGAAACTACAGGTTTCCCAGTTAATGGGTTAACATCTAGTCACTGGGTTGGAGACGAACAGTTTGCATTTTTTTAATTCTGTCACGAAGTGACAGAATGAATATTATCCATTGTCATCTAGTGTACTCCGCCTAAACACTAAATTGTCTAACCTCACAGATCATGAATTTTCATAAGAACTTCGGGAAATCCACTTCGAAGTAAGTTACTACTAATTACTCAATAAAGTTGTGAGCATCCACTGCTAAGCAGTCACAATCCTCAATGAAACAGCTATCTAATTCACCCAGGTTTTTAGTGAGTCTCCAGTTGATATCACTCCGTGATGAATAGTGCTTTCGGATCTATAAATCCCTACAAAAAATCAATATTTGAAAAAATGCATACAAACCTTAAGGTTCAACCTAAAATTGTCTGGCGATTGATGGATCACTCAGTATACACTTAACACTTTACTAAACCTTTTCAGAGTAAAGTCAAGTTAAAAATATCAAAATTCCTTATAATCTTTAAAAGGACCCCTATACTACAGTATACTTTATATGGTCTATGAAAATACAATATTACTAGTAAATTACCGCCAGTGAAGTCATACCTATCTACAGGATTCACTTATATACGTTAACAACATAGGAATTTGACAAGTTCATACAAGCTTTCATATTTCAGATACAGAGTAAGATGTATTTCTTCATTTTTTTTTCTCCTACAAACAAAAGAGAAAGGACGATGAAAAAACATAAACTGAAAACTATTCCTACCATAAGAAGTGAAAAATCCTAATTTAAAAGTTTGGAAACATATAAACAATTTATAATTAACACTATATTTCTCATTTTTACAGCTGAAAAAATGCATAAAATGTAAAATATTTGAGAAAATCAAGTTGATTTGCTTTCATTCAATATTCATGTAAGCAGTACATATATACACACATGTACTTGAACACAAAACACGAACTATTATCTATCTATGAAATGATTTATAACTTAAGCAAAAATATTTAGTGTTACTTTACTGATAACTGGACTACATACCTTAAGGAATAGGAAGAGGAGATGAAATTTATACGCCAATTTCAGTAGTGAAGTTTAATTGACTACAGAGGTGATGATATGTACAAGTTTACACTATGTATACCATTATCATTTCGATTATTCTTCTTCATTAAACCAAAGTCAAAAGTACTGAATCTTGTGTATAAGGATGCATACTTTTGATGATAATACTTATTTTACATTGTAGAGTATAACATACTAATCTATATAACACTGAAACCATCTATTCAAAAGTCATATCAAGCGTTATATCCTTCATTAAGAAAAGACATTGTTGCTATGACATTCATTTTAGTTTATCATCAGTGAATAAGTGGTTACGATACATTGGCCCACCCAAATGGTAATTCAACTATTCACTGATGAATAAGTCTGCTAATGATATTTGCGTGTTTTCATTTTAACAAACTATGAATTCTAATCACTTTTACAGGACTGGGAACTTTTATGGGTGAGGATATGAACCTGTATGTAACTACCAATAATCATTTCATTTTCATAGTTATTAAGATTACAAAATTTCATTGACAAAAAAATTTAGAATTAGTTAGATGACTCTGATGGCTGGTAAGTATAGCTTCTAGAGATTTATGTTGATCAACAGTAGGTATTGGATAACTTTAATGCTTGCCATCGTGGTGCTATTTGTGGCTCTAAAACGCCTTTATTATTGCAGTTTCCAAAAGACCTCATAGTCAGCTTCCCTATTAGGGTTTCACCTAATTATGTTACGCTTCTTTCGAACTGTGTAACTTCCGAACGTCTGATTTACATTCAAGTTCATATTTTGTGTCAATAATATTACCTGAGACGTAAGTGAAATACACTGACTAATTACAGTGGCAGGGGTAATTAGTTTCGAAGTAAACTAAGTTACACCAAATACACAACGTGAACAGAGTGCGACAATACTATCGAGAAATTAGGAAGTACGCGGATAAAAACACAAACGTAGGATATTTTATCCACTTTCTGCGAAATATGAAGTAGTAAAACATGTTAGAGGCATCACTAAGTATTTCTGTCCACTCACTGGATTATTTAAATCATTCAGTCAAAATAACCGACAATTTTACAGAAAGAGAATACTGGGTCATGATTGAAAGTGAAATGAAAATTCAAACCATGGCAGGATTCAAACCACCCACCATCGGATTTCCAACCCAGTACCCTACAAACTCATCTACAAGATCCAACTAATAACCACATCTTTATTTCACTTCGATCATCATCCACCATAAATACCAGTCTGACAAACTACGACCATCTCAGATAGTCAAATGATAGTCAGTAGGATGTTCCCCTTCTGTGATTCAGTTAGATTGAGATTGAGATGAGAAGTCGTGAATGAGGAGTCAGTGTGAATAGGATCAGGCGGTAGAGAGGCATGACGAATTCACATGGTGGTGGGGGAAACCCGACCTGTGATTGAAAGGAAATAAGAATCTGGTGAGTAGTGGGACCTGGTAGTTCAGTTGTTAGAGCAGAGTGTGGGAGACCTGGATATTGGTGGTTCGACTCCAGGTGTTGTCCAAATTTTCATTTCACCTTCAATCATCAACATGTATAAATACTAGTCTGTCAAACTACGGCTATCTCAGATAATCAAATGATAAAGTGATAATACACAATTGCTCCCTATAAACTCACATCAAGGTAACAGTTGCTTCTTTGAGATGTTGGTAAATTGACTACCACACTGACGATATCCGAAATGACACAGTAGCATACATTATAATTCCCTAACTCGAACACAGCTGAGCAGTAACTGACATACCTTCTTAGCTTAGAGTTAAAATAACTTTTCGGTTATGGTGATAGGTATAAAACATTAAATTCCATAATTTATTCAACTTTAATAATGTACTCCATACTTTTAAAGGGAATTCAAACTTTGCGCTATTGTTGTTACATATTCTTTTTCAACCGATCAATCTCAAGGAACATACTTTGGATAAGCTTCATAGAAGTACGTATATTTAAGAATTTTATTTCTTAAAATATGTCAATGAAACAAACAGAATTGATCAATCTCTTTTTTAAGATCTATTTGGCTGAAAAGACGCTTACTACAGGATTTCACTTAATCACATGAGTTTAAGTACATGAAAGTCACATGCTTGCAGATATATATGTCAGTTGCGGCTACTAACGATTATCTGAAGCCAGAATTCCAAACGATAGGGCTATTATAGTCTTATTCATGCAACTTTCTGTTGAGGATCTGTACAATTAATAAAGTCAGACTTACACGTTCACGGTAATTTCAAGCCTTATCTAATACAACAAGACTATTTGTTTACCAAAAGAATATAGCTATGAATTTGGCTGCAAACAGCATATTAGGATACGGAGGAATGTAGCTGACAGAGTTTGACAATATCATACATATATTGATGATAATTGATCGTGTTTTAGGGAGGATGATCACTTTCATTCAACAACTCTGTCTGTCACACAAACAATCAATTACACATGATATATATATATATATATATATATATATATATATATATATAGACAGAGAGATATTAGGCTATATCTTTGAATATACTAGTATGATTATTGATTTCTATCACTGGCGCCAACAACAATAACTAGATGCATCCGACTCACAAACGTATAATGGCAAGGAGAATGAGAATATGATTAAAAGATGTAGAATTGTAATACGTCTCAGCCTGACATCTCTCTCTCTCTCTCTCTGTGTCTCTATAGCCTAAGATGTTCAATCAACTCAGCTAACTAATAGTAAAGTCAGCAAACATAGTGAGTGAGCATAGCTGACTGACTGATAAGTATCTAGGCCTACTTTTCTGATCGATTGACTAACAATATAACCAACTAACCAGATAATTGATTATAGTGACAATGAGAGAATAACCTACACGCAAGTCACAATAGAGGATAGTGAGATTTTCACATTGATGATTGACAATCACCATCTTTCAGGACACTGAATCGTTTCGGTTTTCAGGCATGCGAGTTTTTGATTGATCAATAATTTCTAGTCATTTTCATTCTACACTAATAAACGCAACTATTTTATATAACACCAAAACACTTATTTTACATTTATAAGTATACATGGAGAAGGTTGATCCAAGTAGGTTGACCTTACCCCTTTTGCTTGGGAATTCGAATATGGGTTTATCTATTTATTATACAGTACACTACTGAAATTCAGGAGTAGTGAACCAATCTTTTTGTGACCTTTATCTGTAGACCTAGACTGAAATAAGTGGGATAATGTTCGAATTTAACATTTGAAGGTGCATCTGATTGAAAAAGTCATCAACCACACGTCACAATAGTTCGCAAACACACGTGGACAGAAAAAGACTCATCAAAGTACGTAAATTAGTATAAATGAATAAATAATATGAAGGTAAAGCTTAGTATGAATATCCAAACTTTATATGGCAAAGAGTGGAATATATCTGCACCATTATGACCGATTTTCAGTTATATCATCAAGAATCCTCAACCACTGATTCTTTTCGTCTCAAGGACCCCAGACCGACAGTCTACATCTCCCACATTCCTCAAGCCGGCAGTCAGGGACTTTATCGACTGGTAGCAGGTCTTGGCCTGGCCACTGTGAACCTGTTTCTATTCTAATCCGAATTCCCCCAGCGTGGCACGTTGAGGTAGGTGGTGGCTCGGCATGCGCTATGTATGTCCAAGCCGTTTCAGTCGACTAACGTTCAAAACCTCGTCAGTCGACTTGCCTGTCTTGCCTAGCACCCTTCGCCTGACCTCAACATTGCTCACACGGTGATTCCACCACACAGGAGTAATGCTACGAAGACATCTACTATCAAAACCGTGCAACCGCTTCATGTCTTCTACTGCTAACAGCCATATCTCAGCCATACAAAACAGAATGGACTACAGCTGAGTATACTTGTCCTCTGATAGATAGCCGGCACTAGCAGGAGGAGATAAGTAATAATTACAGCCGTATAAAAAATGAATATATTCATTCGAAAAGACTTCTTATAAGTTGTGCTGAGTGACATTTTCAAAGAACGTATTCTGTCAGCAAATATACAATCTATACGCAGTACGTTTCTTTACACGTTTCATACAGTAATTCATTAATTCTCTGACTTGTTGCTATATATTGAGAGTTGTTTATTTCGCTTATTATTTCCCCGGTAATCGCATGTTGAAACAGTAGGTTTGCAGGTGTGTTATGTGTCAGTTATTTTAGTCAAACAGCAAGATCCTGACTGGTTTGACATTTTTAACGCACACTAGGTTATTAGTCGTAGCTTCTGATATGATATGGTACCACATGCGTTCAATGCTATGAAGGCTTCAGCAAACCAAAAATGACAACGATATCCTCCCGTTCACCTTAAGCGCACAATGCTTACACTGATATCTAAATCGTTAATCTAAGATTTATTAGTATTCATCTTCGTTGGTTGCATTCTCGCATCAGAAAGCGATATTAGTAGAAGCGTAGATCTGAAAAGAAGACACGTTTGATACACGAATTGATCATCAGCGAATAATTGATACTTACCTAGTCCCTAGTGCTCAACACCGATCTGTGTCGACTGACCAATAAACTAGGTGATGCGATACACTGATGCACTGTATTTGTAATGTTAGATTTCGGTATTAGCATTGCTTCTTGATAAAAACGAGTACGTTGATTTTCATGACAAAAAAGAAACCGATTTATTAAAGGGAAGGTGTTTTTCTTTTGAATCTCGATAATGATTTGTAATCTATTTTCTTACATTGATTAGTCACTGAAGCGCAACCAATTTCCTGTTGTCTACTCCTGAGTACTCATCGAATTTTATCAATCAGTTTGCAATGTAGCGGCCAAGCTAGTAGGTTCAACATCACGGTGCTCCTAGATAGATGTTAGTTGACTGGAAGCAATTAGTTTATAGGTTTGTAGGGACTGCAAAATATGGTTTCTTATTTCAAATACTTTCATTTGGCCATGACCATAAACCATTCAACAGTAAATGAATATCGTGAATATCGTATAACTGTTTTTTCAAACTCTATTTGACTCGATACTTTGGCCATTAGCTACAAAGCGGATTTATAGCTCAAAAAAGTGGTTTCATTGGTATTCTCTGAACTGGATAGTTTGTTCACGAAATTTCAATTGCTATTAAAAATACCTCAACTTCTAAATCATCAGGTCAAGTTGTTAAATAATAAGTCGTTAAAATGTTTATCAAAAGCATCTCTTGAAGTTTGCATAGACGGTTTCTTATTGAAAGGCAATGAAAACCTTATGATTCAATTATTTAGCTTACTGAATCCGATCCTACAGTTATGTGACCATCTCTTCTTTTGATTTCGATGACTTTCTACAGCTTTAGATTTCTATTTTGTTGACCTTCGATTTATTCTGGATCTCGATGTGGTAACTTTCATAGTTACATATTATTACTAGGTCCCATGATGGTACTGACTAATTGAACTGTATCTGTTACACTCACTGATATCAAGCAAAGTAGATAGACCGGGAGACTGACTGTTAACACCGAGGCTAACAATCAAATATCGTAACCACAGGATAACAGCACTACAAGAATGCATTCGTAGTATACATGATTAATTTACACGAACAAATGAATTCCATCGGATAAAAACTAATTACAATCCTGCGAATATGTGGTAAGTTGAGAATGACTACACTTATAAAACACAAATGAAATTACACTTGAATTTAATCATAATAAAATCACCAACAAAACAAAACAAATTCATTGTCATTGGTTATTATATAAAGATTGAGGGAAAAGTTTATCCTTTCTTATCTCTCTCTATCTCTTCCCTGAACTAAGTTTACCTATGCATGTCCAAAAGATGGTGCATTTCATACAGATAATTTAAAAGGAGAAAAACGAAGTCTCATGCTATGCTCGCTAATCAAACGACGGTAAATAAAGATTTCTATTATGAATTATCTCACCAGTGTCTTTAAATTTGACATTCAGGTGCATGCAATTGGCTTTAAAGCTATTCCATCTTTTTGCTCAGGTGGTTAGGTTCACTCACTTCTCACATTGTATGTATAACTGAAACACTCAACATAATGCATAAATAACACAACTTTATTTATGTTTATACACTTTATATTACGTTAACTGTAAGTTTCCTTTGAGTAATCTATTTCTCTATCCCCTATTATGCTATGCCAATGGGCTGACTATGACTACAACAGTGTTCATAAGTATGATTCTACCGTACATAAAGGATATATCAGAAATCATGACAACATTACTGAAACCACTTGGAATTGATGTAGCTCACAAATCAACAGACTCCCTACAAATACTATTATGCAGTCCAAAGAATGTGACAAACAAAGAAGACAAACTGAATATCATTTACAAAATCAATCACAATCACTGTAGTCAACACTACATTGAACAAAGTGGCCACCCTCTTCACCTTCATCTACATGAACACCAACTAACTGTTAAACGTCACAACATTTCATCATGCATGCATTTCAATGCATGTGGATAATTATGGAGATGAATGAATTCAATTTTGACAATGTGGAAATTGTTGACGGGGCGAGGGAACACAAAAAGTGTCAGAGAATTCCTAGACTCTTTGCATTCAGGTCAGTAGTCAGTCAGTCAGCCAGTCAGTCAGCAATCAATAGATGTATAGATATAGACCCAATCTATCAACCAATAAGAGAGATGATAGATGACAGAAAGGTTAGAGGTCAAGGGGGGAAACAACCGAAAGGGAAGTCTATACAATCAATGACACAGCAATCAGTGGGAACAACCGATCACAAACCAATTCATCAGGGCAAGCCATGAAATCCGTCAGGGAGAGATATTGACAGCTCACTTCATACTGAAGTTAGTGTTGATGATGTCGTCTAGCTAGATGATGAAAGCTTCACACGAAATATATTTTAAACTCGAATACACCTATGTATCTATTAGGCTTTGACTGCAATCATGAGTAA